TCTACATCCAGAAATGTGTTTGAGATGTAGTGACCAAAATCAAGATACAGTGATAAAATTCATGGTTACAACATGCAACCATATTTTAGCAAACTCATAACTTAGTGGAGATGCAAACAAGCTGACTTGTCAGACTACTTCATTAGATAATCTGACTCACCATTGTAAATTATGTATAGTTTGAGACGGTAGTGTTTTTGTGCCATAATAATTTAACTACACAAAGCACATTGTATTGCATTTGTTTTCTGCAGTAAAAGCCAATATGGGGCAATGAGCTGGATAGCTTGGTTGTGCAACATGGATCTAGCATCAGTTGTTTTATCAAGTCAGCTTTGTCTGAAGCATCCCTCATGTGTCATGTCTTTTTTTTTAACCTTTAAAAGTTAATACAAAATAATGAGAAGATGAGCACAGGATCCTCAGTGGGAGAACCCTGCACAAAATAAGAACAATTACTCGTAAGGCATGTCACAGTAAATCTTTATTTCAGGCAACACTCAGTGCTCAGATTGGCATCCCCTTTTATCCATTTGTTTATTTTTTATTTCATGTGACATTAAAAGGATCTCACATTTGACAGCTGGTGTCAGTGGCATTTTAACATTGACTATCCTCCTACCCCACCCGGGAAGACACTTAAAGCTGTTGAAACACTGGGACAGGACAACACAACACATGCACAGTGATCGACATCAGGCTAAAAGTTAGTGTCACTCGATCAGAGTGGGATATGGTGCCATAAAAGTGAAAATGTGTTTAACCTTCAACATGTGACATTATGAGTGGTATGACTCAAATTCTTCAAATCAACACCAGTTTCACCCCAAAACCAGAATATGAGTGAAATGATCTTCACTGGATAAAACTGAAAAGATCTATGCGCTCTAATTTCTACACAATGTGCCACATCCTAAATAACACAAGCCAGAGAGGTGTTTCATAGATAAAAATTTGGTTTTAAAAAAGCAGGCCTTATGGCTTTTTTTTATCATGACCCATTGTGTGTCTTGAAAATTTACAAACACAAATGCAGAAGACAGGAAAAACATTAAGCTTCTAAGCCCAGGAATGAAAAAGTCCAGAAATCTTGGGATCTGTAAGGCACTAAGCCAGGATATCCAAACATCCAGGAACACTAGGAAGACACAGCTATATACACAATGCAACAGAAGACAAGGGGAGAGTGACACAATATGAAGATAATGAGGGGAGAAGAAACAGGTGGGGAATGCAGTAGGAAAAGGAACAACGAGACAAAGCACGTAAAACTACAAAGCAACAGAGAGAAAATGCTATCAAAATAGAAAAGCAAGTAACTAACAGAGAGAAAGAAGACGACAAAAAAATATAATGGAACACTAAAATAAACTAAAACACACTGAAACAGTAAAAGTGCAAGTGCAAACTAAAAAATGAAACCAAGTATACACAAAGGACACAAAATGTTGTCACTGTCAACTTGGCACTCTGCCCTCTCTTACAAATAGTTATTTTCGCTCCAAAAAACAAAGATGGCTGCTGCACCAAAACTAACCTTGAGGCTTCAAGTCCACCTTTTATATGCAGTCTAAATTCTAAAAGACACACCTCTCACCACTCGGTAATGAGTCAAGGAAACACAGGCTATTACATATATTGTCATTTCTGTCCCTTGATAGACAAAAATGACAGTCATTACAAATTCTAACCAAGGCTGTAAATCATCTGGACTCTAGCTCATATTTAATATGGACATTGGGTTAAAACTATCTTTTCAACTCTTACTCAGAAAGAAATCAGCTGTACTTCTGGAGAACACTCATGTAACCCCACCTGGTTGTCTCAGGTACTGCCACCCATAGTTTGTGTTTTTTCATTTATTTAATTCATGGTCTGTATGCTCTCTCTCTCTCTTTTCTTTTCCCATTGCAGTGTCCAAATTGTTCATTCTTTTCCTTTCCCCCTCACTCCAAATCGGTCATGCAGATGACTAGTGCCCCACTCTGAATCTAGTTTCACCAAGTGTCACCAAGTGGACTTCCTGATTTTTGGAATGTTCTCGGTCATATTGTAGAATCATACCTCTTAATAAGGTATTTACACAGCACCAGTGGTGAATTAGGGGTTAAAACTTATTTTGCCAGAACTGGACTGTTCTGGAGGGTTATTTTATCTGTTCTGTGAAACTCAAACGGAACCTGAATTACTGAAGAAGGCTTTGCTCAACTGCCAACACTACTTTATGAAACACCTCACTGGGGAATCATATAGAAAGAAGTCTGTGTTCTGCTTTAAAGGATTGCTGATGATCTTTTAAAACCTGAGTTGATATGGTGCTACAAACTATGTAATCACTCTTTGAGAAGGTGTTGTGTGTAGTTTATCATCACAGTGAAAATTGGCACATAATTCTGGCACAAAGTTTGTGCTTTGTAGCACATTGTACTTTTTGGAATCATTATCTCACAATGTGAGGGTCACACATTAGTGCAATACTTGTCAGGCCAGAGTCTGTTTGACTCTGTTTGGCAGTATAAATAAAATGTCTCAATAAAAAACCCATAGACTTTATAAATGAATCTTCACCAAGATATTCACTAAACTCATTCTGCAAGGGTGGTCCTATAAACAGATGTAGCAAAAACACACTAAATTTCTATGTACCTACTCATGCACTGTTGCACACATGAAAACACACATGCTCACTCTGATTCCATGGGTTTCCACGTGTAAATATCTTGTAAATGCAATAAGAAATATAACATTAACAAATATATAACTTTAAAAAATTGTCCAGTGATCCAAGTATTTAAAGGTGCAATCACTGACCATCTACTGCCTTTTTGCATAAAACTGTATATTGCACTTTGTTTGAAGATGTGGATGATAGCCTCTCCAAATTCCAGAGTGATTTGCCTGTAAAGAATTTAGAATGGTAAGAATCTTAAAGAGTTTCTTTAGTTTGGTTTTATAATAACATTTGCCCCCACAAACACTGAGGGCTTTGGCTTTCCTTATGAACTCCCCACACTGGGACTGTATTAGGCAAGCCAAGGGAAACAGCATGTTTTTTCGACTGTGGGAGAAACCCCATGCAGAATGCATGGAGATCCAGGGATTGTAACCCAAAATCTAACCCAGAATCTGTCTAACATTCACGCACACACTCGCACAGATGTATAGGGGACATCTTGAAGTTCCTTATTTTGCCTACTTCAACATGCAGACAGGAGGAGCTGACGATTAAGGTACTGACCTTCTGATTGGTAGATGACCTACCCTACCTCGTGAGCCACAGCTGCTGAAGGATGTTTATAATATAAGGAATAACTTTTCTGATGGAAATTGCTGAGGACTGCGTGTGGTCCTATAGGTTAAGACTTGGGTGAATCCCAGGATTTATAAAACTGCAAACCATATTCCATCCTGCAAACCTGAAATCTGTGCGTAAGAGCTGACCTGTATTAGAAGAACACTAATTAGAAGAACATTAGACAGTCTCAACAAAGTCTCAGTAACAGCTGTACTTAAAAAAACAACAACTTCTGTCTGGTATTGGATATATGAATCCAAAATATCCTAATTGAAAAGTGAAAAAAGGGTTTTGTGCAAGCGCACTGCTGAGAAAAGACATTTCATTTCAGGGAAGTTATACTCTATTCCAAAGGAATGAACACTCACAGACACATTATCATTATTCATTATTATCATTATTAGTATTATTATTATTATTATTGAGTTTATTTCACCACATCAGTAGTGAAATACTATGTGCTTTTTTAGAATGAAATTAATAGAATTCTGCAAGTCAACCTTAATTCAAATAAATATTTTCTCACAACACTTTGCACTCTGAAAAACAAGCTCCTTCTAACACAATATGCACTAATATCTGTGTCCATGCAAACCTGCACATCTTTAGGCCCCTGTCACACACCACTAGTGAATGATTGGAAGCTGCCTTTCATCCCTTGGTTGTTAGACAAAATTTCCCAGTAGAGGTTATTCGCAGTCGTGTATTGCCCGACCACTTGGCAAATGCGGGAACTAATTTGCTCTCACAAGCTAAAATTGGTCACAAAGAGGTATACAGTGCTGCACAAAAAAGCCTCCTTGCAAATGTTTTATTCAGTAACAGATTGCCACAGTCGCCAAACAGCCAGACCTGTTTGACAACACTTGCTAAGTACTTGATATAAGTGGTAGTAAAACTGTGAAAAGTGCAACACACGTTGGAAATGGAGACAATTCACCTCTGATGCATGCAAACTACAGGCGACCACAGCAATCTGGTAGCAACCAAAGCAATCACAAGGAAAATATTAAAAACATCTGTATTGTAAGACACAACAATATAAAGTGACTTAAGCCAGCTGTTGTTGTGAATTGGCACTGTATAAATAAAGTTGAACTGTTCAAGAGCAATAGGAGGATTAGAGGCGCCTGGGAAGGGCAGGGCATACACGATAACAAGATAACAAGATTGTTGAATTCTCAAACAGTAAAGTTACTGAGAGATGTACACCTTCCAGAGTTTGTTTTTTAAGAAAAGTAAGTTTTTATGCTCTGAAACATTTCACAGTATCTGTTGAGTGGTAAGAATTCTAAGGATTTTCACTTTTTAAATTTTTGCTTGTATCAGTTCTCTTAATTAATATCTGTGGTAAATGAACTTATCCAATAAATCTTACTATCACCGCTGTCTTGTATCAAAGTTTGGGTCTGTTTCATTCAAAAAATAACCCTTCAGTTCTTTTTTGATCACGTCTAGTCGATGCATGACTGTCACTGGCCTTTCTGAGTTTTTCTTGCCTGTCTGCATATCCTTGGACTATAGGAGGAATGCGAACTTCTTTCAGTAACACTGATATGTTTTCAGGCTGCTCCTTAGGATCAATATATAATATTGATTGCAATTTAAATTTCATGGAGCAGAAAAAATATTTAACATTAACTGATCATTTTGTGTGTGTGTGTGTGTGTGTGTGTGTGTGTGTGTGTGTGTGTGTGTGTGTGTGTGTGTGTGTGTGTGTTTATTCAGATCTGATTTTTGAAACAATAAAATGTTAACTTTGACATAAAGAGATCTGAAATGTTACTGGGATGTAAAAACTCAACCTGTGGTCTTAGGGCCTGGAAGGCAAAGGGACCCAAACAAAAAGTCATTTGCTGGAAGGTTTGACTGCTCCAAGGATTTCAAGACTATACGGTGGTTTCATTCTTCCAGGGGCCTGTCCGTATGTTTCCTGTGGCATCTGAACCAAACAGGCTATCTTCCTGCAGACTCCTGTTTCTACCAATGGGTCCCCGTCGGTTCACAGTGCCATGCTGCCGAGGTAGGGTGTTCCTTGGGAAACCTTTCTGTTCCAGCTCTAGACAGATCTTTTCTTTGTCTGCCGTCTTTGACATCCAGCTCAAATTGTCAGGGTCTTGTTCATACTGCAAGGTGACGGGATCAGCTCTCTCACAACAGTTTGTGCTGGAAGAGTCATCGACTGAGCAGTACATGTGCCACTGGCTGGTGTCGACCCCATGAGAAGGCATAAGAAGGCTGTGGCAGGAAGAGATACTGTCATGCATGTTGTGGGCATGACTGTGACAGGAAGCAACCGAGTCTTGCACACTGTGGCAGGAGGTCTGACGTTCCAAGCTGTGACAGGACACTACAAGTTGGCTATCTAAATGAGGGCTGATGTATGGAAGCTGGAGATCTGGGTGTGGACTATTAGAAACCAGTGGTGAGGCTTCAATGTGGTGCACATTATGAGGACTGTCCAGGTGAGTACTGTGCACACTCCCATCCATACTGGTGGAAGTGATATGAGACCGGTAATCCTGGAAGCATTGGCGTGGACGGTTGAAAGAGCGTGTCTTTGTCCTATCAGCAATGCAACTCTGCAGGGGAAGAGCTGGATGAGGGAGCTCATCAGGAAGTGACTGTGGACGTGGTGAAGGCATTTGGTCAGCATGAGGTGAGATGGGGGAAGGGCTAACAGGAGTCATTACAGCCACACAGCATGGACCTGTGTGATTTAATGTTGGGCTTTGGGGAGGTGGTGTTGTTCTGTGGTGAGAACTCTGAATAGGGTAAGGAGAAAGCATCTGCTGCTTCACTGAGAGTGGGGAATTCAAATGGCAGTGTGGCTGATGGACTTCCTGCCTCTGGCTCTGTCCTTCTCCAGGCCCATCCTCTGTCTTTGATCTGGATGGGCAACAAGCCCACCAACGGTGCCACACGTCATCACGCTTAGCACAGTGCTGGATGAGAAGGAAGAGTCCCAGAGTGACACAAAAAGCACCATAGAGACAACTGAATATCATGTCCAGGAAATGTCCCAGTGAAACAGCCAATGCTCCCAAAGTCCAGGTAGCCAGGAACAGGAAGAGGGTGAAGACTGTGGCCCGGAGTTGAGATTTAAAAGAGTGCTCATTGGCCAGAACTGACACGCCAGCAGCAAAGGGCTGGCAGTCCCCAGCAGACCCAGTGTCCGTGTGGCAGTGATGGTGCGACTCATTTGATGACAGCTGTTGCTGCTCTTCACTTAAAACCCGCAGCTCATACTTCCTTTCTGGGTGGCGCTTCAGCTGGACGTAAGTCCACAAGAAGTACACACACATGACTAAGACCAGAAGACTCATGGGAGCATAGAAACCACCCAGACTTGGTTCCCATGCCATCCAGCAACTAAAAAAATGAAAAAAGAAAGTTTTTTTTTAATGTTCTATATTTAACAACAAATAATAATCTGAGTATACTTACTACAGTGCATCATCTCTGCTGCCATAGTTATCCATACCAAATGCTGCTGTAACTCCAACTATTATGATAGGGATTCCATCACTTACAAGATAAAATCTGAAAAAAATTTCACCATGAAGAATTAGAGCTTGTTTTAACATATGGCATAGAAACTGAACATTTCTCACTCACTATGTGTTAACAGACCTCTCTGCATTAAATCGCACTTGTTATTACAGTTTTTTACAGATGCTAGGACACATGTCTCAATACTTAGGTCACTTTTGCAAAACTCCTCACACAGTGAGCACAACAGAAGTCTATGTGGGCTAAACTGAGAACCAGTTATCATTGTTTTGGCACAAAATGCATTCAATGACTACATCTCTCAAATTTCATGAATTATCTTCTCACTCAGACACAACAACTGCCAAAAATCTTTGTACGTACAGGACATTTTGCATGTGCTTACATACTGTTTTCAAAAATGTTAAACTTATGGCCAAAACAATAACACAATGCAAAACTTAAAAAGACAGCAAAATGCAACAGCAATATTTTATTGAAACATATTTTAAATCTAAAAATGCAGTTTAACCAGCCACAGCTGATTCTCATTGTAGATGAACCTCTGCACAGGTGTTACTCCTTCAGTTTTTCAACTCCTTCAATTCTGGCAGCCAGAAGATTCTTTCCTAGGTGTGTTGCCCTAGATGACATAAGATGTGATGTGGATGAGAACCTGTGGCCAAATGGAGAAGACCGAGTAGATTAGCATTACTATTGTATGTGTATCAGTGGATGGTGTGTATACAAATTCTTGTATTTTGGGATTACTTAGTGCAAAAAAATAAAAATACATAAACAAATATTAACGAATTCTGCATGATGTCTGATTCATTCCAGTAACATATATTGAAATTCTAAACAGAGATGTGTCCTTGTTTTACACAAGAAAACACTGTGTAATGCTACATGTTGTTAGTGTTTTTTAGGTCATTGTTTTGTGGGTGACAAAGTGTGTTTGTCGGCTGTCAACCTTTGCTAGTGTTCTGGAAGAATTAGTTTATTTGAGACCTGAATGAAGTGTTTTGGTAGTTGTAGTGCATTTTGAATGTGAAATGAACTGCTTTGCCAAGCTGAAGGTCAGTTAGGAGGATTGTGTGAAGAGTTTTGCAAAAGTGACCTAAGTATTGAGACATGTGTCCTAGCGGCTGTAAAAAACTGTAACCTCTGGTTCTCTTCCACAGCATGTCTTTCATCCTGTCTTCCTTCTCTCACCCCAACCGGTCGCAGCAGATGGCCCCGCCCCTCCCTGAGCCTGGTTCTGCTGGAGGTTTCTTCCTGTTAAAAAGGAGTTTTTCCTTCCCACTGTCGCCAAAGTGCTTGCTCATAGGGGGTCATATTGATTGTTGATGATTGTTGGGTTTTTCTCTGCATGTATTATTGTAGGATCAACAATATTTGCACTTTGAGGCCACTATTGTTGTGATTTAGTGCTGTATGAATAAAACTGAAGTGAATTGAATATGTATATGTATTCTATAAAGACAGAGCAAGAGAGAGAGAGAGAAATTATATATGTTTATAATTGTGTGTGTGTGTGTGTGTGTGTGTGTGTGTGTGTGTGTGTGTGTGTGTGTGTGTGTGTGTGTGTGTGTCTGGGCCTGGCACACACACACACACACACACGCACACACACACACACACACACACACACACAGGCCATTCACTCATTCATACCCACCCACTAACAAAGTCACAGATGCACACATATCGATCCCCTCTCCATAGTGCAGGCGAGCATGTCACATATGTGACACGAGCACCTAACTGCTGGACAAAACCCTCAATGTCTGAGGTGCAGATAAAATTGAGGGGTAGAAAATATCATTTTCAAATATTCTGTGCTGCTGGTATCCTCAAATACTGTGTGAAGCTAGATACCACTAACAACTAGAGCTTATTTAATTTTTATTTATTTTTTTTATTTTAATCAGGTCAAAATTTCAAGAAAAATTTCAAGAAATTTTTTGAATAATGTATCAAGTGAAAGAGAGCTTTTTTCAATACGACACCCTGTGATGTCACAGCGATGCCATAACAGGCAGCATGTTGTAATAAAAACATCATAAGACATAGAAGTTTTAGTAAAGCCTTTGCCCTTTGGGGGGAGTTGCACTCTCTGAGTGCTCTTGCTGTCAACAGTATTCTCAAATATGCAAGAGCAGATAAGAAGCAATTGACTCAACACTGTAAAAATTAGTAATTAGCTATGATAAAAGTCAGAAAAATATAAAAGTGAGAAAATGACCCAAGGACAGTCATGATTCATTCACATACTGATGACTGATGAACACTGCTCAGCCCTGCTTGTACCCGCAGGCACCTGTTTACAGCTTACCTGAGGATGGCTGGTTTGGTACAAGTCTGGGAAGCCCTATTCCTCTCCTGTGCCTGAAGTGGGTCTTTGGAAACATCTTTACAGATGTTTCTAGCAGTGAAGGTCAGCCACAGCATGGTAGACAGAGAAGCATAGTGGAGCACAATGCCAACCTAACACAGGTTGAAATAGACATCATAAAAATTGAGTGAACTGGAGTAAGTTTAAGAGTGTAGTTGGGAATCATCATAGAACAAAAATGCACTCTATTAGGTGTTCAATATGCTGCACACTGAACAGTTCCAATGTCTAAGGACTGAATAAATTAAAAGCTCCAAAAGCGTGCACTGAGCTTCAGTCATATTGTGATTATAATTAATTCATGATTCACTTTGGTGATAAAACAGCAAAACGGTGCAGAAGCAGAACCTTTGAAGGTTCATGAAAACATATGATCTAAAAATAACTTTGTTTATGTGTGTGTGCCGTTAAATGGGAGGCATTGTTATATCAGCTACAATCTTTTAAATTATGCTACTTATTCAAAAAAAGTTACATTCATATTGAATGTAAAAAATATTCAGTACCAGAGGTGGAACTATAAAGCCGCCCTTTTATTGTATCTTTCAACCATAAAAGTTTTGGAGAGATGATCGTAGCACTTGGCAAGCTACAGCCAATGTGTCTATTTTTCCATAAAACCATCCCTGAGGTTTATAGAACAGGTGTGCCTTCCTATCAGCTCCAAGTACAGTAACGCAAAAACCAGTACAATTATTTTCATTACATCCACGTTATACAGAAGAGCATCTCTGAACACAGGAGATTTACATTACGGTTGTGTAGCCAAGAAGTCTGCAGCAACTGTGTATTGCTGACATGTCTATGGAGACCAATATTTCTGAGGAATAATTACAGTACTTTGTGAAATCATGAAGAATTAAGGAAGTTCCCAGGGTAAAATGGGGATCCAAGCCAGTGCTAGCAATGTGTACCTAATAAAGTGAAGTGTTTACATTTAACCTGACTTTAACCGACTAGAGGGTTTTTCATGTTATACTCAGTCACACAATTTGGAAGCCAGTCTAATATAAAATAACCAATATCTTCAGATTCAAAAAAATAATAAAAGCTAACATTCTTTTAAGAGTTAAGTGCCCTTAACAGAACTTTGAAACATCACCACAGTAAGAAACCAAGAACACAACACTTACAATCTGACACACAAAAGGTAAGTTGATTTGATTGATTCCACCAGCAAAAATACCAAATGTCAGTCCTGTGTGAAAGAGGAAGTTGAGGAGTGTGTGCCAGCCATTCCTGCTGATTCTGATCACACTGTAAACAAGGAGAAAATTTAAACATCAGAAAGATAGTGTCTTAGCTTAAATTAGGTAGAAGGTTGTGGGAATGAACACAGGAGTCACACTGTCACCTTTGGACTATAATTTAGAAGTATTAAAGTATTAAATCCACATATAAAAGAATATGTTAACTAAGGCTTCAGTCTCACAGGTCTGAAGACCGGTCAGTGAGCACCACATAACATCTGGTCAATAGGGAAAAATGTATTTTCTTCTTTGCTGACTGTCATTAGGAGAAATCAATCACAAAACATTGTACTAAACAGCACCTTTTCATTGCTTTGGCTGCTTGCAGACTGCATCAAAGACCATTTGATATCTCAAGTTCTCAGTTTTATTAGTAAATCTGGTCCTTCAACATTCTGTACCAGCACAAAACCCTCTTTAGGTATTAAGAGACTGTACTGTTGGGATTTATTGTGTTAAAGATGAACTGAATGGTGTCAGTTAGAGGGTTTTTTTTATGTATTTATTTTTTGACCTGGGACAAAATTTGGGGAGGAAAAAATAACATGTGCATAATATTATAAGTAAACACATGCAATAGTAAGAAACAACGTAAAAAGTTTTTTGATTTTTTGATATTGGTAACTGACCTGGGACATGACATTTTAAGTAATTTAGCGCTTTAGTGCTAAAAAAAAAAAGAAAAGAAAAGAAAAAAGAAAAATCAGTAATTATTGTAATGAATAAATTTTTTTGACACATATAATTGCTTTCTATGGTAGAAAAATGTTAATTGTGTAACACAAGCTTTTAGAATTAGGTAATGGCACATGTTTATATAAAATAAAGTCATTTCTGTCATGAGGACAGAACCAAATGCACCAAATACTAGTTTTATAAACCAAACGTGTTTGTAATAAATTTCTCCTTTGTAACAGGATGGGCTGTGCAGTTCATTCATAAAATAACTCAATATCTCTAAAAGTCCCTATCAATTTCTAACGGAAAAATCCAGCCTTGTATCAGAGCAGATGAATTGTCCTTCAGCTTCAGCTCCTTGATCTTAATTAATATGCTGTTTTTGCAGAGCAACACAAAAGTTTTGGGAGGTTTAAATTGAAGTGGACAGTTCTACTTTGTACTTGAAACCTGTCTGCTTCTGCACATTCATTCTGGATGAAGGTGGGTGTTTTTAACAGACACAAGATGAGGATAAAGAAACATTATGAGATATACAGACACCTTTATGATATAAAGTCACAACATACATATAGGCATGTGAATATTTTGTGCAATGAAAAGTGTGAAATTATCTTGTAATAAGGTCTCACCTGTGGTGGACAATGTAAGTCATGATGGAGACAAGCAGACAGAGCAGCATAACTGCGGTGCAGGCATACACCACTGGATGTAGGTAATCCCCGGGGTATGGGGGGAAGGATAGCACTCTCTTTAGATCCTGAAAAAGAAGTGCACAATCTATGTTTTGTCAAAGATGGCAAAAAAAGTTAAATTGCTTCTGTTTTGCACATACTAAGTGAGAGTGACGTTACATAAAAAGTATCCTTTGAATAGGAAGGTGCTGAATGTTTTATTCAGTATCACCCTATCAGCATATTAAAGGACCTTGAAGAAAAAGGATCTTCTACAACAGTCTTTCTCAAACGGTGGTGTCATGGTCCTGGGTCGTGTGACCCAGTGTTGAGTTTTATGTATCTTTTGTATTCATTTATGCTTTAGCTTAGTTTGTCTAGTTAATTTCTAGGGTGCTGTTTAGCCCTTTGTTTCTTAGTTGTTTATGTCATCTCCCCCTGTACTAAGTCTCCCTGGTTCATGCGTCATGTCTGCGTGGTTATGTTTAGTTCATGTCATGTCTAATCTCCATGTTTCCTGTTTTACTTTGAAAGTCTGTATTCAATGTCAGTGTATTTAGTTTCACCTCTCCTGTCCTGTCGTTAGGTTCATGTGTGTCAGCTGTGCTCCATGTGTGGCCACTTCCCCTGATGTGATCCTGATCATCCCTCATGTGTATTTAGTCTCTGTGTTTCATGCAGTCTGTGTCGCGTCATCTGTGTTTCCCACCCTCCATGTTTTCATGCCCAGTCTTTCGTATTCTTAGCCATAGCTTTCTGAGTCTTCATAGTTTATCAGTATCCGTTCCCCAGTTTAGTTTAGTTCAGTCACGGTATTTCTGCTTTGTTTGAGACCTGTCTTCAGCCATAATAAAGGCTCGCTTTCAGTTTAAGTTACTTCGGTCTACTCTCTTGTGTTCGCACCTGGGTTCACCACACGCACCCCCGCACGGTCTGTCTCCTCAGATCGTGACAGTACGACACAACCAGTATGGACCCAGCAACACAGAGAAGAGAGATTATTCAGACAGTGGAAGCGCTATGCTGTAAGTGGATGCAGCGTTCCGGGGAGGAGGATACGGAGGAGTTACTCCACCCATTGCGGGTGAGCGTCACTGTGTTTCCCTGGTTATGGGAGGCGTTACCCCCCCTGATTTCTGATTACCTCCGCACCATCCTCCAAACCCCGTCCTCAGCAGCAGCCGCTGTGTCACCACCGTCCCGCTGTCACGCAACTTCCCCATCGCCGTTTCCACAGTCTTGGGGCTCCGAGGCGATTAGGGTTGGCTCACTGAGCTGCCTCCATCAATTCCATCATGCACAAGCTGCTCACCCTCACCATTCCGTTCGGACTTCGCTTCTCCAGCCTCATTTCTGGTGAGGATGTGGTCGGAGGATGAGGAGCCAGCCGTCACAGCTATCAATGTCGCATTAACAGCCGCTGCTAGGAAAAAGTGGCGCCCTCGTCGCCGACGCACGTCGGCACAGCCAGAGTCCGGAGTATCGTCAGAGCAGTTGCCTGGGCTGGAACCACTGGCCGAAGCTGTCTCTGAGTCCGTGTCTGCAGTGTTTTGTGGCTCTGAGGAAATGTCCCCAGAGATCACTGTTCGGGACGTCGCTGAACGGGAGCAGGTGGTTCTCGCGGAGCTGGAGGAGAAGCTCTGACATGCTCATAGTCGGGGGCTGACCCGTACAGCGACCTTGAGTGTTTTGCAAGGCGCTTTTAAATAAAATGTATTATTATTGTATTCTAATGCACTATGTGGCCATGTGACTAGAAAAGCGCTATATAAACGGTAGATAATTTCCTAATTTCCTTCGGGATTAATAAAGTATTCTGATTCTGATAATATAAATGGTAGATGTAGGTCACAAGTTGCCTTAACCTGCAACCTGTGCAAGCTAAAATCTGATTCTGCTCTTCCCCCCTCCTCCCTCACCCTCTGTTTAGCCGAACTAAATTCATGGTTCTCTTCTAATTTTCTCAAACTCAATAGTAATAAATCCGAGCTTCTCTTGGTAGGTACTAAATCAACATTATCCAGAACCAACAGTTTCTCTGTTACTATCAATAACTTACTATCTTCGTTTCTTCCTCTGTGAAAAGCTTGGGTGCTATCCTTGACAGTACTCTATCTTTCAATTCACACATTAATAATGTTACTCGGTCTGCATATTTTCAATTGCACAACATTAATCGTCTCCGTCCTTTTCTCACCCCACATGCTGCTGCCATTCTTGTCCATAGCCTTGTTACTTCCTGGATTGATTATTGTAATTCACTTATTTTTGGTCTTACTCAAAAATCCATCCACAAGCTCCAACGCATCCAGAACTCTGCTGCCCGCATTATCACCAGGACCCCTTCTGTCCACCACATCACCTGCAGCAGCTTCATTGGCTCCCAGTCAAATATCGCATCAATTTCAAAATATTCTTGTACACATTTAAGGCTATTCATCATCTCTCTCCTCCATATCTCTCTGATCTGGTTCAGATCACCACCCCATCTCGATGTCTTAGATCAGGAGTCCCCAATCCCAGTCCACAAGGGCCGGTGTCCCTGCAGGTTTTAGATCTCACCCTGGGTCAACACACCTGAATCACATGATTAGTTCATTACCAGGTCTCTGGAGAACTTCAGGACATGTTGAGGAGGTCATTTATCCATCTGAATCAGCTGTGATGGATCAAAGACACATCTAAAAACAGCAACTACAACTAAACAAAGTAATTGAAATCAGGGCCAATCACTTTGAAAATAAACTCTGGGTTTACTAACTCTGAGATCTGCAACAAGTTTCCTGTTCCTGATGAGCTTATCAGAGTAAGTTCAAAACAAAACGTGGACAGCAATGGAGATGGTGGAAGTCAGGGGGCTGGCTGCGTGACCACCGTTTGCAGCTTGGCTGAAGGCTGGTGGCGGAGGAATCCTGGTGCGGACGAAGCAGGACCAGACGGCATAGAGACCTTTGGCTGGAACAAACCAGGCTCGGGCTCAGGCAGAACAGAGACCTCTTTTTTTTTTTTAATTCCCACTAAACTCATCAAGGTCTGATGTTCTTTCTGATTGATTTTGAGGTGGATGTTGTCAACCATTTAAAAAATGACATTTCTGGTTCCCACTACTTGGTATTAACTAATGCTGACAATTGGCATATCAATTTGTCAAGCACTCTCATCAGGACTGTGAAGTTTGGGAGAGATTGGACAAGGTGTCTTTGACTTACAGTGGTTTGCAAAAGTATTCGGCCCCCTTGAACTTTCCCACATTTTCTCACATTACAGCCACAAACATGAATCAATGTTATTGGAATTCCACGTGAAAGACCAACACAAAGTGGTGCACACGTGAGAAGTGGAACAAAATCATACATGACTCCAATCATTTTTTACAAATAAATAACTGCAAAGTGGGGTGTGCGTAATTATTCAGCCCCCATTGGTCTGAGTGCAGTCAGTCACTCATAGACGTTGCCTAATGAGTGCTAATGACTAAATAGAGTGCACCTGTGTGTGTAATCTAACGTCAGTACAAATACAGCTGCTCTGTGACGACCTCAGAGGTTGTCTAAGAGAATACTGGGAGCAACAACACCATGAAGTCCAAAGAACACAGCAGACAGGTCAGGGATAAAGTTATTGAGAAATTTAAAGCAGGCTTAGGCTACAAAAAGGTTTCCCAAGCCTTGAACATCCACGGAGCACTGTTCAAGCCATCATTCAGAAATGGAAGGAGTATGGCACAACTGTAAACCTACCAAGACAAGGCCGTCCACCTAAACTCACAGGCCGAACAAGGAGAGCGCTGATCAGAAATGCAGCCAAGAGGCCCATGGTGACTCTGGACGAGCTGCAGAGATCTACAGCTCAGGTGGGGGAATCTGTCCATAGGACAACTATTAGTTGTGCACTGCACAAAGTTGGCCTTTATGGAAGAGTGGCAAGAAGAAAGCCATTGTTAACAGAAAACCATGGAGCCAAATACAGGGCAATCTTGGAAGAAAGATTGCAAAAGTCTAAAAAAGACTTGAGACTGGGGCGGAGGTTCACCTTCCAGCAGGATAATGACCCTAAACATAAAGCCAGAGCAACAATGGAATGGTTTAAAACAAAACATATCCATGTGTTAGAATGGCCCAGTCAATGTCCAGATCTAAATCCAATCGAGAATCTGTGGCAAGATCTGAAAACTGCTGTTCACAAACGCTGTCCATCTAATCTGACTGAGCTGGAGCTGTTTCAAAGAAGAATGGGCAAAGATTTCAGTCTGTAGATGTGCAAAGCTGGTAGAGACAGACCCTAAAAGACTGGCAGCTGTAACTGCAGCAAAAGGTGGTTCTACAAAGTGTTGACTCAGGGGGCTGAATAATTACACACACCCCACTTTGCAGTTATTTATTTGTAAAACATGTTTGGAATCATGAATGATTTTCGTTCCACTTCTCACGTGTGCACCACTTTGTGTTGGTCTTTCACGTGGAATTCCAATAAAATTGATTCATGTTTGTGGCTGTAATGTGACAAAATGTGGAAAAGTTCAAGGGGCCGAATACTTTTGCAAGCCACTATGTAGAAATTTCCTGCTTCATGGTGAAAAATCTAAATTCACTATGTTGCCAGGTTCACACCGTTTGGTGAAAACTCACAGTTTTGAAGATAAAGTAAGAACAACTCCTTCAGGATTCAGAAGTTTAAGGTTGCTCGGATCAGCCACCTTGAAACTATACCTCAAAGTGTAAAATATGTAATTCCGTTTTCCTGCTAGGTCACACTGTGTGTAAATATTCCAACCGAAATGTGTTCTGGGGCGGAACATTATCACAATTGAGAAAATCCGTAGGAGGAGTTTGCAAAAGTATAACATCTGGTAAATGGTCAAATCTGCACCAAAATGTCATTTTCAATTCAAAACATCTGCCTTCCTCACTGATTTATGGCATCATTCAAAGATCTGTACATCTTGGGAAGTTATAGGCGTGTGCCCAACTTTATACATGTATGCGAAACACAGCATTCAGACTCATCTTTTGCAGTTGCTTGCCCAGCTCCAGTCATTGTTAACAGGAGCTTGATACGCCCACAAAACATAGAGTATCTGCAGCTT